TGTTCTAGAAGAATCTGGGACTTATCGATGTTGGGGGGGGGAACTGATCTCCAGGTAGGGAAAGTTCTTTAGGTGGAGCAGTAGTGACAAGGGGGAGAGATGTGAGGAAAGGACAGTTGTCACTGAGGCCAGGAGTGTCAGTGAGGAGCAGAGAGGTTCTCCTCTGTACACTGGGACCCCAAGGTGCACTTGTTGGGGCAGGGAGGAAGGCACAGGTTCTGCTGGAGACGTCTGGAGAGAAGGGTATTCTGAGGGGCTAAGAGCTTCATTGGAGACAGGCTCAGATGCTGAACTTTGGGGGAAGTAGTTAAACATGGCGAGGTTGTAGAGAGGATAGGATGAAGCCTTGAGGAGAAGAGAGTAGAGGAAGAAGGGTTCAGCCAGGAACAAGGACAACTATAGTGGATTCTGTTCTTGACACCTCAAGTAACCTTCCAGTAGCTGGAAGGTGTCTGGAATATAAATCCAAATCTGTCAGTCTGCTTGGGATAGGATCTGGAGCTACTAAAGATGCCCAATGGAGAGCTGGTGGTGCTGCTGTAGTTAGGCTCTGTAGGAAGTCTGCCTGGGGAGTTCCCATAGCCTTGTCCGAGGATGGGGACCCGAGTCCCTGGCCCCATCATAAGGATTGTGTGTCTGGTGGATGCTGGAGAGTTCCAGGTCACTGTCTGGGTTCCAGCCCAGACCTTCTCAGGTGTGGAGGGCAGGTTGGTCTGAAGTCAAATAGAGCCTGCTTTTGTCCCTGCTTGCATCAGGGGAGTACAGAAGTAATTCTCTTATGCTCTAGAGACAGAGACAGGAAGTCCTGGTTCAAACAGACAGCTCTGCCACTTACCTTCTAAGCACTCCCAAGCCATTGAATTCACCTAAGTATTAATTTGCCCTGCCCCCAACAGTGTTTGCTGAGGGGATTGAGTAAGTCCAGAAGAGTCACCATATCTAAGATGGCAGCAGGCCATCTGTTGTGAGACATGAGGAAGGACCCTTGGGAAGGAGACAGAAGTGTCTCAGGAGTTCTGCATCAGGAAGATGTGTGGAATGCTCTGGATTTAAATTGTCACCATTCTGGGTTCAGGGGATGGTATTTTCAAGCCGTTGCTCAAGGCTGAGTTACAAAGACCTGGGCACTCACAGGGTTGCTTCCAGTGCCTCACAGAAAGGTAGTGAGGGGAGGGCAGAGATGGAGGCGGCGAAGGACTGTGCCCAGCAAGCCCCGTCTCTTTACTAACATTTCCCAGGGGAAAGAGGGAGGGATGGCCACAGCAACTATGGCCTCTTTCCACACTCTCTGTCTTAATCTTCTCCACACTTGTGAGAGGTGAAATTTGTGTATTTTACTTTTCTTGTGGTGGTGGTTAAATACCTGGGAAGAAGCAACTTAGTGGAGGGAAGGTTTCTTTGGACTTAAGGTTTCAGGAGGGGTACAGGAAAGGTACGGCGGCAGGCGGGGGAGGTGGCTGGCCAGGTTATATCCATAATCAGTAAGCAGAAACGAGATAGAAAGTGGGGCCACGCTATAAAAGCTCAAAGCTTTCTACAGTTAGTGATCCATGTCCTGTAGCATGGGGCCACTTCTTCCAAGACAGTAGCGCCTGCTGGGGGCCATGTGTTCGAACACAGGAGCCTAGGGCCAGCAGCACATTGAAACCGCAACAGCATTTTATCCTGTCACAGATGGGGAAGCTGAGGCCCACTTGGCTGAAATAACCTTGGCTCACATGCGTATACTAGGCACTGCCAGGTAAAGTAAGCTACTCTGCTTGTTTCTGGAAAAGTCTTTTTGTCGTCTTGCCTCATTGGCTTCCGTCAGGGACAGTATTTAGGAGGTTTTAGAATAGGGATGATGTAAACATGTGGGGCCCTAGGCTTCAGGAAGCCAATGATGGAAGCCCAGTGACTCAGGGTAGCCTGTTGGGGTACATGGCAGGCAGAGGGAGGAGCCTTTTCTCTCATGCTTTGCTTTAACTGGAGAAGTCTCCGTATGCACATACGAATGGATTGGCATTCTGCTTCACAAACCAATGTAGGTTTTGTTTCTCATAGCAGGATCTGCCAGTGAACATTCTTGTGTTTCAGTCCATGGTCAGACACAGCATTATTCCAAGGAACCCTGCAGAAACCAAGCCAATCAAGTTGATGTCGGCACATTTTTTGAGATTTGCTGTGTATGTGGAACTGTCCTCTGAAGGACATGAAGAGTCCCACATTGGGATGTTGGCGGGCCTCTTGGGGAAGCCTGATGTCTTGTGTATCTGAGCTCTTGCTTATCCTTCAATCCTTCAACAGGAAAACTTTCTGGCTTGTTCCATATCAGGGTTGTGAATGAATTTTGTGCATCTAATACATCTTGCTATATCCCATCTTTCACTAGCCTGTCCCCTGCTTTGGAGGCCCTAGGTATAGCACAGCATCTGGACACAGAGATGTTTTGAGGAAATGCATGTCTTTACCACATGATGAGGTCAGCTTTTAGGTAATCTGGGAATGGTTATTGCTGGAGGGTTCCAGAAGGAATGAAATGCCATGCTTTGTGGGGGGAGATCATAGATCAGAAGATTTCTAGGTAGAGACAGATTCCAACAGGGAACTTGAACTCATAGTCCTGTGAGGTTGGTATTAATTATTGTATTATTAATTTTTTTGGTGAGAAAGCGTCTCACTGGTATCCCAGGCTGTCATGGAGACTCATCTGTAGCCCCAGATTGGCTGAATTTTCAGAACCCGTCTTGCTTCAGCTTCCTGAATGCTGGGATTACAGGTCTGAGCTACTAAGCTTGGCTGGTATTATTATACCTATCTTATAAATGAGTATGTTGGAGCTCCAAATAAAAGAAGGCTGGTCTGAACCATTTCTCCAAGGAAGAGAGCTGTAGACACAGCACAGGAACCCAGGCTGGACTCCTCATCTGTAGTTGGACATCTATCTACTTAGCAAACATCTATGGAAAGTACCTTGTTAGTTCTCAAACTGCTGTCCCAGGAGCATGGTCTGGGAGCTTGTTAGGAATGGGAATTCTCAGACCCACCCAGACCTGCTGAGTGTTGTGAGACTCTGTCCTCTAAGCATAGCTGCTGTTACTGTCTTAATTGGAACAGCTGTGACTATTCACAGTGACCCTGGAGATCAAGTCACTTGATGTTCTCTCCTGAAATGAGGAGGGAGTAAGGGAGTCTTTAGACCCTCTTCTGAGCTCTCACCATCCCTTCCTGCACTGTCCTGCTAGCTGTGTGTAATTGTGCCCAGGCTGCATATGGTCTTGTGGTCTCAAGGGATGTTAAGAGTATGTAGGGCATCAAGGGTTAACTGATGGGAGGGGGACTGTAAGGACATCATCATCCATGCTGGGAAGACTGGATTCTGTTTTAGACATTTGTATTGCAGTATTATTAGCATACAGTGAGATGCTCCAGTTTTATTTTTTGAGCCAGTGTCCCACCATGTAGCCCAGACTAGACTTGAATTTACCCTGCCTCGGTCTTCTCAGTGCAGGATAATATTTTGCCTGCCTGTATTTCTGTACTCCACAATCACACCTGGTGCCCTCAGAGGTCAGAAGGGGGCATCAGGGTGGTTGTGAGCTACCATGTAGGTGGTGGGAGCTGAACTCAGGTCCTCTGTAAGAGCAACAAGTGTTCTTAACTGCTGAGTCACCTCTTGAGCCCCAGGTATGCTGAGTTTTGATAGTTGGTGTAGAGTGCCAGGCATGCTCAACTTTTTGACATTGTGATATGATATTTGACATTTTGTCACAATAGTGCCACCTATAGAGTTTTCACTCAAGGACTATGTAATTGAGTTACAAAAATTCTAATCTTTTAAGCAGGTGTACAACCTTTGGGTTGAGCTGCAGTCATAGAGATCCTGCAGGCCATGAGTGGAATGCACTGGGACTTCCATGACAAAGACATATTTCTCTCAGCCCAGAATATTTATTCCCAAGGAAACATGGCCTTCAGACCAACAATACCAACAGCTTCCAGGATCTTTCTGGTCAAATCGCCCACCACTCTCCTTCCTGGAGAGAATGGTGTTCTAACTTCTGCCGCCACAGTTAGGTCTTTGAAACTGTGTTTTGTCATGTGACTGTGATGGCTTGAGTCTGAACTGTCCACAGCTGAGGGTACTTGTTTGGCATGTGTGCAACCCTTTGGAGGTGGGGCATAGCTAGCAGCAGTAGGTCTCCGGGTGTCACTTTTGAAGGTTATAACTTCTAGTTCCATCCATTCTCTCTTGGTCTACTGCAGTGTGAATAGTCACTGCCTCAGTTTCCACTGTCATGCATGGAGCCCTTCAGATATGCCTTCCCTGTATGATGGACTGCAATGTTCTGAAACTGTGAACCATGACATATTTTTCTTGCATTGTTTCTGTCACTCATTTGGTCACAGAAGCACGAAATAAATATAGTGGCTAACATGTTTGACTCTACTTGGCCATTTTCCACTTTAGAGCCATACAACCCCCAAATCACGGATGGTTGGTCACTCCAGCCAGACTCTATGCTCTAACCTTGTTCCTTTCTCTTTACTCCATAAAGCTTAAACCTGTAAGAAAGGTATGCCAATGACTTAGACCTACCAGCCACTGTCTTTGGGGACACATAGGTTAAGTTTGGCTCTTGGTCAAGTTCCTGCTTCTTTTAACCCTAGTACTGTCAGTTTCTATCAGTATTCACGTCCTTGCTTATAATATGATGATGAGGCGAAAGGACCAAATAGCGATGAACACGAACAGTGGAGAGACTTGCTTCTCAAAGTGTGGTCCATAGGCTAAAACCACTAACAGCATCTGATAACTTGGCAGTATTTCAGTACTCACTCACCCCGCCCACTTTCTCTTCCCAAGACCTGCTGAAGAGCCTGCAGATTTCCCCTATGTTGGGGGTTGAACTCAGGACCCTGGTTTGTGCTAATCACACACCCTTCCACTGCGCTCTATATATTTACAGGGTCTCTGTGTGATTTGTGCACCCATTTGGTCTTTTTTCTCATGATTCTAGGGCATCGAATACTCTTTCCTATCCTCTGGATGAGCCCTCACCTCACGCCGCCAGAGTGGCCTATGGAGAGATCCTCACCCCATCTCACTGAGGTGCTGATGAATTATTGAACCAGGTGAGAACCCTCTTGCACTTCCCTGAAGTATGTGGGGAAGCATTTGGTGCATTAAGCCTTCTTTCTTTTTTGTTCAAACCCAAGGTTATGTCTAGCCAGGATGGAGGGAGCGAGATTTTAGCTTGCACTGGACACTCAAGCCCTGCTTGGGCAATGAATTATTGAAATCCAAGAAACACCATTTGGTCAGTCACGCTAGCTCAGGGGGGGTCCCAGAGGGCAGCACCTCAGAATAGCCTCTGTATATCTTTCATCAAGAAGTTAAAAACAAAAGAAAAATCCAAAAGTAATGAGTTGACATGGCCACTACCAGGATGACTATATATTTTTATTTATATAATTAAATGTGAGAGAAAATGTAGATATTGTTGATATATGTTCCAAATTGAGTCTTCACCCTTTTTCAGAGTCAATGCTATCTTGATTTTCATGAATAATTGTGTCTATTGAAATAATTCTTTTGAAAACCTTTGTATTTTCATATACACCCATATATATGTATGATGAAGGGAGAATGCATGATACTGCTTTATAAGGACATTTCTCAACATTCGCTCAGATTTATTCCTGGTCCCTTTACACACTGCTTGTTTTGTTTTTGACCTCTCTTCTTGTTGATGTATGCAGCTCTAATCCCTTCATTCAATTGACTTCCAGGTATTCTGTCATGCAGAGAGGCCATGTTTAGTTTCTCATTTACATCCTGTTGCATATTTATATTGTTTCCAATTTTTCACCATAACAAACAATTCCAAAGGCATCATTCTGACCCTGGGAAGGCCCATGTGGGAGAGTTTCTGAGCAGACATGTCTCCTGGAGTGGAATCATTAGGTTCTGTGGTATGCACACGTTCAATTTTTCTGGGTATTTCCATTACTCTTTCAAAGGAGTTTTAGTGATTTACATTTCCACCAGCAGTCTAGAAAAGTACAATTTTCTCACATCCTCTCCAGCGATTGCTATTGTCAGGGCTTTTTTTATTGTTGTTAGCTCCTCAGGAGAAAAATAGCTTGCTTCTATGGTTAAATTTATTGCTGGTTCTTTTGGTTGGAAGAAGTGTCATCAGGGTGGGGTGAGGTCCAACAAGAGGTTGGTAAGACTGATCCTTGTCAAACTGAGAGGGAGACTGGGTAAGTCTGTTGCCCTCTCTGGTCTATGGTATCTTAGGTCTAGATCGTCTCTGGGAGGACAGTGCCCTGAATGAGGTAGAGTGCTTCTGATGTGTGACTTTGGCATTTCTAACAACAAGATCTGTACAGAAAGGCCACTCCACCAGTTAGGGACCTGTGCTAGGGTCCCAGGGTTACTTCTTAACTCATTATTCTTTAATTAATGAAGGGGCTTCATGTTGTATAGAATGTGGTTCTATGAACAAAACAGCTGTCATCTTTATCAAATCAACTGTGCCTGGTTGAAAGAGACAGTCACCTTTCGGCCTGTTGACTGTTGACCATTGTGTCAGAGAAGGAGAGGGTAGAGAGTCATTGGATCTTCACTTAAGATTTGAGCCACGCCTCCCAGCCATTTGTATGCAATTCTTCCCTATTTGCTCATGACTTTGGAGTCTTGGGAAATGCTAGAATATATAGGCTGGGGAAGACTAGGGGAGGGAGGCTCCATTTTTATGGCTATGGGGAGGCCATCATCCATTTCAGCTGAAGACATTTTAGTATAGTTTCTCTGGGCTCCCCTATTCTTTTGTAAGTAGTCCCTCATCCATGTTCTATAGGTAAGCCCAATGAACTCATGGGTTCCTTAGGGTGAATGTTATAGAATCATACTTGGGTCATTGTCACTGGGGCCTTGTAAGGATAGGGAGATGTTTATTTCTCCCAAGAAAAGGATTCTTACAATACTCCAACATAGGAATCAGAAGTGGGTTTTAGTCCTGGTTCCAACATCTCCCTCCAGTGTGGTTATGGATGGATGAGCTGGTCAAATTCCAGTACAAATTGAATTTAAGGGCAAGGAAGCCTGTAGGGGAGCCCATGCTAATAAGGTCTTTTCCCCAAAGGGCCAAACTGTGGAGTAATAGGAGTAAGCTCTGGGGTTTAAGTGCAGATCTGACCAAGTGTCTTTCCTGAGGCTGACTCTGCTCTTGGTTTTGGCTAGGATGTTTTTTGTTGTGAAGTAGAGGACATTGCTTCAGCTGCAATGGAGGTGCCTTAGTGTGGCAGGAGCTTGACTTACACATCTGGAAACCTTGTGAATGGTACTGAAGGGTTGTCAGAGTTATACAAGACATACTACAACCCACCTAATAATGTCTATGAAATTAAAATTTTTACCGGCTATTATACTCCAGATAGAGATTCCACTCAATGGATGGCTGAACTTGCTATTTGTGATATATAAGCAGAAGCTAGACAAACTGTGGAAGGGGATGCTGGACACGTACACAGTCTTGAAGCCTCTGTGTGTCTCCAAGGATAGGGTTCTCTGTGTTGCTTGAAGCAGCTGCGACTATTTGGTGATAAGAAAAAACTAATTGCTATACAGGTCTTCCATATCTCTATCCTGGAGGCTGGGGATGTCTTTCAAAAACTGTCCCCAGTAAAGTACTGTGAAACTATAGCTCTCAAAACATGGTCCCTGGACTTCAGCATCACTGGGAATATGACAGAAATGCAAACTTCCAGATTCTTCTCAGATAACACTGTGATTGTTCACCTTGACTTTTCAATTTGATTGTGTTGAGAAACACCAAGAAGACTTGTAAAGCACACCTCTGGGTGTGTCTGTGAGAGCATTCTCATAGCCCCAGATCATAAGGGCTCTGACCCAATGAATGGTTTAATGTATCCACAGATCCAACAATTGACCAGACTGGGGGCTGGAGAGATGGCTCAGTGAATAAGAGCACTGACGGATCATCTAGAGGATCCAGATCCAATTCCCAGTACTCACATTGGGGCTCACAACTGTATGTAACCCAATCCAGGAATCCAACACCTCCTCTAGTCTCTCCGGGCACCAGGCATGCTCATGGTGCACAGACATAAATTTGGACAAAATACCCATACACCTGCAGAGTTAGACTGCTAGGAGGTGATAAACCTATGGAAGGTAAAGCCTAGTTAGAGGGAATGAGCTACTGTGAGCATGCTCACAGGGACAGTATCTTGCCCTGGCCCCTTCCTGTTAGTGTCTTGCTCTGCTTCTTGTCCACCATGATGGAAATTGCATCATGGTGCCTTCCCTATCATGGTAGATTAAAATCTCTGAACCCATGGACAAAATAAATCTTTTTTTGCTTTTTAGCTGGTTTTATCAGGTATTTTGTCAGAGTGACAAAAAAGTAACTAATATGTCCACTGAATTAGAACTTTGGAGGGAGGATTCAGCAATCTGTGTCTTTAAAAGCCCTCCAAGGGATCTGACTACTCATCATCCTTGAGAATTAGCTTGGACAGCTGACCTAAGATCCAGAAGTTATGTGTGGTGGTTTGAATAGGTATGGCCCCCATAGGCTCATGTGTTTGGGTGCTTGGCTCATAGGGAGTGGCACTATTAGGAGGTGTGGCCTTGTTTGAAGAAGTATGTCACTGTGAAGGTATACGTTGAGGTCTCATATGTGCTCAAGCCACACCCAGTGTGGTGGTCTTCTGCTGTCTGTGGATTAAGACATAGTCAGCTCCTTTTCCAGTGCCACGTCTGCCTGAATGCCACCATGCTTCTTGCCACAATGGTAATGAACTAAACCTTTGAAACTGAGAGCCATCCCCAATGAAATGTTTTCCTTTATAAGAGTTGCCATGGTCATGGTGTCTCTTCACAGCAGTAGAAACCCTAACTAAGACACCATGGCTATGAGCTCTACTTCTCTGGTGGTAGAGTGAAGCCGGAAACTGGATTTGGGGTGAGGGCTTGGAGGGAGGGGAGACGTGACACAAGGAAGAACATTCAGCATAGATGGCAGGGAGAGAAACCTGGTAGATGTTAGAGAATAGCAGTTTTGCTTATTTCTGTCTGGCATGGATGTGAGATCTCAGCTTCTGCTGGAAAGGAATATAGTTCAGTGGCAGAGATGGTGATGAGATGGTCTGAGAGGCAGATGGGCAGCTGTGTATGCTGTAAACAGGGATGGGGCAACATGGGGGAGGATGGGTCACGGTGAGTGCACAGAATTTTTTGCCTCTTACCTCTGAAAGATCTTCCTTGTCACAGCTATGGCCCCAGAGTGGAGACAGGAGCAATTGCCCTGTTCTCAGAAGCTACAAGATCATCTCAGCATTGGGCGAAGGGTGGCCTGTGGGGACCTTATGGATGGGGTTCCATTCAAGATTATCTAACTGCTTTGAGGGTCAGTCATAGCTTGGATTCTGTAGCACTGGTTCTCTGTGTCACATCTCCTTTGCACCCAGTTTGAGCTAAATAATGTCCGTCTGGACACTCTTAAAGGTTGGGCAGAGGAGAGTGGCTTTAGGAGTCATGTGTTGGATGAATGGTAGACAAGGGTAAACGGGAAGCAGCAGCATAAACCTTCTGTGCTCTGGCAAAGAGCAGTGTGTTCTCTCCACTATCTGCTTTTACTGGGAACGTTCCAGATTTCTCCCCAGAACATCTTGTTCTTAGCCCAGGGGTCTCTGTGAGCATCTCTGCAGGCAGCTGTACAGCCACTTGCCTGTCACTTTCTATTCTCTGCCAACAGGTCTCACATAACCTGGCTCTGGGGCAGGGGCTGGGAACTGCTGGGCTTACAGGGGGTTGTGAATGCCAAGGCCATTTCTCTGCAATGCCACCATTACCTCAACATGATCGTGAGCAGAGATGTTTCTTTGGCAGCTGGCCACTTGGCATGGGGAAACACTGCCACACCATTTGGCTGTTTTCACTGGCTCCATTCAGTAACATAATGCTGGGTGGCTGTTAAATTTGGCTGTGGGATATTTTATGCAGGTTGTTAACAACCACATAAACACCCACCTTCCTTTATCTCCCTCATGTTGCCAGTCTGTTGTTGTGACCAAACACATTTAAGCCTTCACCGTTGTTACCG